TAAAGATAACTTTTTATTTAACGAATTGTATGCGCATTGTGTAGGGCTGAGTGAAATTTTAAGTGCAATAACGGTGTGGCTTGGATAAAATATTTAAGATATATGTATTATGTAGGCAAGGAGTAGGCAATACGTTTCATCTTTACATATAATAAAATTCTAATTGAGTCGAATCTGTACATTAAATATTTTTTGGAAAATCTTATTGAAATAGTCATTATTTATTAGTTTTTATAATTTTTGTCTCTTTGTCTGTCTGTTTGTTTGGGAATGCATCACGAGAAAACAATAGACAGATTTTGATGAAATTTGGTATGATGATAGCTGGTTATCCGGGTCAACATATATGATACTTTTTATTGCGAGAAAATATCTCATCTCTGAGAAATCTATACTAACCCTTAAAACTTATCTAGGGACGAATCTGAGCGGAGCGACTTAGTCTCTAATTAAAATATAAGTGGCTGTAGACAATAACACCTGCAAATATTTTAGTTTATGTATGCTTAAGAATTCCAAGCGTTATTTTTAATTATCTTGACTCAACGCGATTAACACAAAATGTATAAAGCCAAGGTCGATATCAAAACAGAAAAATAATTAATTTATTATAATTAATGCACTGAGGTTTTTTCATCAATTCAGTGATAGGTAGTTCTTGTATTCCAAGGCGTCTACAAACATCTCTTGTAAAATATATTATCGTGATTCTAATTTACATTGCTTCTCTTACTGTAATAATAGCTATTATAGAGATCATATCCTATCCTATTATAGGGATCGTTAACAACATTAAATATGCGATGTTCATATTTTGAATTTTACTCTACTTGACATTAAGAAAACTACCTATACCTAATAATGATTAAAGTTTTTTAGGTTAGTTCTAAGCACTTGTCACATAAAAATATCGCAGCGAAGCACAATTTATAGCGCCGCTAGGCAGCATTACATAAAATCGCTAAAGTAGTTAAGAAGATTATTAACGCACGGACTAAGTAAAGGCTTTATACAATATATAAAACAGTATAAAAAAACAAATAGTACGTAATTCTCTAAAAAAAGGAGAGAAAAGCGGTATTTTAATTAAATGAGCTAAATAAACTCGATATTTTAATTGGCGCACATCGATTTTTTCCCAAAAAAGTATGTTGTCAACTGGGTATCGTTAAATATCGATAAAAATAATCTCGTTAGTAAATTTGAATACGGTGTATTAAATTTTGTCACTATGGCTTCATTTTCGCGTGTTTACGTCTTTAGTAAATAAATGAAGACGATGAATATATTAATAGATTCAAGGTGGTTTGGCCGAAAAAATGTTTCTTATTTGTAATTCAAAATTTTTAAAGCCTGTTTACGGCATCAAAGAAAAAATTTCTGTTAAATTTTATTTTTTATATAATTTTTAGGGATCCGAACCCGAAATGGGTGGCAACGAAAATCTAATACTAAGCCTCCGCTGTTCGTTCATTCGTCTGTCAGTCTGTAATAGGTAGAGAACAGTAATTTTCGGAGTATGTATTTCTATTGCCGCTATAACAACAAATAATAAAAATAAAAAAAATTAAAAGACAAGAAACATTTTTTAACGTTTGTAATCGATCATCGAAGTGAATACATACATAGAGTCAAAATCATAGTAATAAATAAGTACATGTACGATGGTACGGAACCCTTCGTGTGCGAATTCGACTTGTACTTGACAGATTTTTATAATTTGCAATGTTTACCACAGACATGTAGAATTCGTCATCTTTTGTTTTTAACTTAACTAACAATAAGTCTTGTAAACAACTGTCATCGACTATTCATATAAAAAAACGTTTGAGATATTTTCTTTTTTTAATTTGTACTTTTAAAAAGACTAGGTATTTAGATAATATAGTTTTTGAGAAAAATACCTGTATTTCTCAAAGCTTCAGCTGGCTAGAACATACGCTAGATATAACAATTTTTCCCACGGGCATTGCAAACAGTAGATTTTACTTAAAAACTTATCTTCGTCTTATTGTTTAAGTCTGTAAAATTATTATCAACTATGAAAACATATTCTATAAAATTACTAGCATTGCCCGCGACACCGCCCGCGTTATCAACCGCATACCAAATTTTATCAAAATCCCTCCAGTTTCTTTTCTGTGATGCGGTAACAAACAGACAAACACAAAAATTCTAAAAACTATAGATTCGGCCTCTGTATCGATAATAATGTTTATTTCAATAAGGTTTTCCATAAAATATTTAATGTACAGATTCGGCTTATTTACAATTTTATTATATGTATAGATTATCAATTATGAAAAAGATAAAAGAAGCTGTATAAAGTATATTCGCTTAATAATACTATGCATTTTTCTAATAGACGTTATAGTTTTACTTTGTTGTTATAGGTAATATCGATAGTTAGTTTTAAAGAATGATATGGGTTTGCGCCGTTTTGATCATACAATTAAATTGCATAATGCATAGGATTCTTCCTATAATTTTTTGTTTCCCTATATATATATATATATATATATATATATATATATATATATATATATATATATATATAATATATATATATATATATATATATATATATATAGGGAAACTTAGTGTGTATGGCCACCTTTAGTCAAATCGTGACAGGTTATTATTAATTTGATTACAATACAACAAATCAATATAAATACAGTCTACATTAAAATAAAACCGACACTTACAGGTTCCATATAAAGTGCTCCAAGGTCCGATCATGTAGGCGTCTACCATTGAATTATGTCCCCCGCAAAAAATGTTGACACCTATACAGTATACACAATTCTATAGTTCCATGTTTTAGATTTTAATCAAAATTCCATAAGCTAATTTAAAACTTAGATATTGCTATTAAGTTTTTTAAGAAATTGTCTATCAATTAGTATGAATCTTATCAAAATTTGTTAAGCACTTCTTGAGTTACAATACGATAAACAAGCATAAATGAGAAAGTGTATCAGATCGTATGTATGATGTTGGTATTATTTAATTATAAGATCCACATCATTCATTGAAATTTGTAGGACATTTTTTATAGAACAAGTCAATATTTGTTAATCTTTGACGTTTCAATGCCTTCGCCAATTACGCCATAGGGCCGTCTCGGGTCTGAACTGCGATTAGCGTGTTGCTGACATATCTTATACATTTGCAAGTTAGAATCTCTAAAGATACGTAACAAGGTGTGGTTCAAATATATTTATCTCCCATTTTTTAAAGTATAAAAATACAAATTACAAGTAAAAAGACCTGTATCTGAAATAAAGTTATAAAATGGAATAGTAATAAACGCGTCATAGTTTTCGGTTTACGTTTTTAAACTACACGTTCCCAAAGTATTTGAGAGCCCGCCCCCAAAAGGGCTGAAAAGTGTTGGCGAAGCTCGGGAAATAGTATTTTTAAAAAATAGCCAAATGTATAGTACTAACCAACCAAAGTAAGTCGTGTGCGGTTAGTTGCGTACATTTTTGAAATTTACGTCCTGAACTATAACTAGGTTAAATTAAAACATTTCCTTTAATAAGAAAATATTTAAAACATTGAATTATTTTTAGTTTTTAGTTAGCCGGCTATCATCATACCCATCGAAATCCCTCCAGTGGTTTTTCCTTGATGCGGTCACAAACAGACAGACAAAAATTCTAAAAACTATAGATTCAGCCTTTGTATCGATAATAATGACTACTGTTTCAATAAGATTTTCCGAAAAATATTCAATGCACAGATTCGACTCAGAATTTTATTATGTGTGTAGATGTAGCCATATACGAGTAAGTTAGTTACAACCTAAAGAAAAACAGCATTAGCACATCTTAGGTATTTAATAGAATTAATGATATATGCAACATTTATCAAGAACAATTATTATTAGTCTATATAACCTGCATTTTAGGTGGCGTCTCTTCGATAAAAGTTTTTTCAATCACATGTTTTTAGTAAAATCTATAAAAGTATTGTTTTTTTTTTTAATTTTCTCCCACTAGTACAAAAACGAACAAATTTTATCAATTTATTTACACGTAAAATTACGTAATTTAAACGTGCAGTACTATTCAGTTATATGAATTTATATAATAATGCTTACGTAAACTCCTAGGTCAAGGCTTACAAGTTTATTGAATTGTTAAACGAATCCTTCACATGTTCGACTTTAAATAACATCTGCCTTATAATTTGCCTTTTTTAAAAATAAATAGAGATTAAAGATAAATATCTCTTTTAAAGAAGATTAAAATATTGTATGTTTATTATTATTCGCCTTCATAATAGTTTCTATTATGAGGTAAACGGTTAACTTAGGTTTCTTGGTTTTTCTTCCCATACTTTGACAAGTAGGTTATGGAGCACTATTTTGGTTTTATCTGTGTTTGAGTTAAATTTTAAGTCTTTTTTTGGGTTATTTATTCTAAATTACAATATTTATTGTCAAGCATTAAAGCAATTATTCGTTTCCTCGACGTTTTGTGACGCCGTCCGGCGGAAATGCCGCGCCGTATTGGCAATGATCCTTTTAAAGCTTGGAAACTTGCTTAATCTAAAACGTGTTGTAGCTCCAAAGCGTCGTTAGCTTCACGTTCACTTTCTTTTTACTCCGCAAGTTTTTATACGTACATACATTGTAATTTACAATGATTAACTATCTGCTAACAATACTGGTAACAATGTACAAGTAAAGATTTTACTGTATGAATATTTATTAAAAACAAAGTAAATGCTGATAAATTACGTCAGAACTAGATTATTTAATAGAAATCAACAATGCACCTGCGGCCGGCTATCTCTAAACATAGTAAATAATGCCAGTTTCCCACTCATCTTAGCCTTTGAAGTAATCTATTTGCTAGTGTTGTCACATAACGGTGTAGCGAGTGCCGCGCGTATCGAATCCGTAATAAGTTGAGAATATTGCCGCAGAAGCGCAAGCCTGATCAGTATTATGTGCCGGCCCGCGACGGCCTAAAAGGAACGAATCGAGAATGTCGATGTATAGATTTGTGAAAGAGGGGAGCAGCAAGCGCCTCTTCGTACAGGGTACCCTCGAAAACGATGATTCGAAACCTTTGAAATCTAGCCTCAAAAAATCTACGCCGTCCCCAGTAGGATCGCCCATCACCACCAGTCTAAACCTCGCTTCTGTACCGAGAAGTTTGAGAGATAGTTTGACGAGACATGAGACGGTGTATGATGGAAATTATCCAGGAATGGAAAGATCGAGCTACCGCTCTGGATCTTATAGGGAAGACAGCTACAATGGAAGAATAGTGCACGACGGCAACCAGACGCATTTTGAGTATGACGGTGAGAGTGCTTTGGCCGTGCCACTATCGGCCGGCGGGAGAGGAGTGTCGGAACTGCAGGCGATTCATACGAACAAACGCATGTCGACCGAGGTCCTGGGCTCCTCGCTGGAGTCAACGAAGATCTCGAAGAAAGACGAAAGCGGGCAGCGGAGGATCACGACCAGGATAGTGAGGAAAGTGACAACGTTGACCCGCGGTGAAGAGAAATCGTCGATGGAGGAAGTCAGAGGCCGCGAGGTCCACACATCCGCTGAACACTACAGGCACGTGGAAATGGAATCGACACCCCCAAGAAAAGTGAAGGTAAAGCGAATTAAGCATATCGTAAACAGATTTACCGTAAATATTTCTTTCCATGAATTATGTAGGAATGCTGGAGCCGTAACCAGATATTCCTTGTGGCTGTAACATTACACTAGCTTTGTTATATCGGGGTATTCCTAATATAATTTCATAAAACTCACAGTCTATAATATAAAAGTATTAGGTAAGTAATTTGAAGACGTACATAATCGGAATAGTTGCACGCTCGATGCCTTACCGTGATTACAGTTAGAAGTATGTACTTATGTATCTTTCTATCTCAACTAATTGTGAGGTAATTCGTGATAGTTAAAAGACTTGTGTTAAAGTCAAATATTTTACTCTTTGCCCACTATGATTTTTCCCAGTGTCAAAATAAATCTTGATCAATGAAAATATATAGTGTCAGGAAGAAATAATGTTGACATATATGTATGTATGTATGTATCTATCGTGTCAAAGCTTTAGTAAATGTACATGATTAATTGTGATAGTTAAAAATACAGGTACTCACTTATTGATATTTCATGAACTGTCAAAAACTACTGAAGTTACGTACATGAAATCTGGTCAGAAGATAATAGAATAATAAATAGTTTACATTATAAGAGGTAAAAGGGGGGAGTCTAGTCATTTTTGTATGAATCGTTCTTCTCTACAATTTGAACTTTATCAATCAATACATTTGTGCGATGAAGTCGCGGGTCCAATAAGTCATTTATACTAATATTATAAAGAGGTAAAGTTTGTGAGATAGTGACGTTGTAGGGGGTAATCTCTGGATCTACTGAACCGATTTAGAAGAAATTTGGTAAAATATGGTTTGAGACCCTGGGAAGGACATAGGATACTTTTTATTCCGAAAATTATTCCTTAAGGGGGTGAAAATGGGGATGAAAGTTTGTATTGGGAGTCAAGCTAGGGACGAACCCGAGCAAAGCGAGGGTGAGTCGCTAGTATCATATAACCTCCAATAAGTCGGTGACGCTATCCTGATTCCTGACATTGATTAATCTTGTTTATCCTGGCAATCCAGTTATCTCACGTTCTAATAATAAAGATGATACAATCTCTTAGTTAAGTATGACTAAGAATAACTTGAGCACTTGAAATATAAATATAGTCCAAGCAAGCGAGTTGCATCTGAATATGGCTACTTCACAGTGTAGATTTATGACCACCTACAGAAATATTGGTAGTCTCATTAAAATTTATAGCTTAACGAGCTCCAGCTATAACGCTTTCTACTACAAAAAATCTAATTTGTACCTTATGTTTTTGCGTTGTCAGTGTTTGCCCCGTGGTAAAAAATCGACGAAAATCATTATTGATAGTACAACATAATTCGTTGGCTCACAATTACAACGTTCTATGTTACAATTTTAGTACTTATTTAGTTATTAATGCTACAACGTTTTATGTGTCATTAGCTACAGTTTTGCAAAAACAAACCACTAGATAGCGGCATTATAACTACAAAATATTCAATTTTACATAGTTCTATGTTTTTGTTTTTACGATAACAAAATAACGAGGTTCTATGTAAAAATTACTAAACTTTATTAAAATTAACATAGAACCTTGTAATAGTGAGCCAACGATATGTATATAGAAAAAAAATTTAGAGAGGAGGAATTTTAGTCAATCTGATTCATTCCACATTCTCTTATAAATCAGTAGAGAGAAGGGTGTCTTTTGCATAGAGGTAGTTCATGATTTCGATCCGTAGGTGAAATAGGCTACAGACATAGAACTTATAGACTTTTTCCCAGTACAATAAGTGGCCCCCGCGGGTTCTTATTAGAGTGTAGTTAAAGCCTGAATGAACCGATTACTCGAATCTACATACCTAATCGTAGTATCGGAATACTCTTTGAAATTTTGTATGTGTTATACCAACACATACAAAATTTCAAAGAGTATTCCGATATTAAATAACAATGAAAAATATTTTTTTTTCTTAGCTAGTGTATGTTTGTTAGTTCTTCTCGGTAAAGTGGCTGTATCGATTTTAATGAAATTTAATACAAAGATGGACTATGACTTGCAGTATTACATAGGGTAATGTCAGAGACGTACCCGTAAAGCGATGGCAAGTCGCTAGTACCAATCTATACATCTATACAGATAAATAAAATTGGAAGTGTCTGTTTGTAATGTCAAAATAACAGTTTTACTAAATGTATATGAAATTATATACGGTAGGTACGTATAAGAAAAACATTTTTTTTTAAATTTTCTATGTCTGTCTGTTTGTTCCGGACAATCTCTGAAACAGCTGGACTGATTTTGACGGGACTTTTTCTGGAAGATAGCTGATGTTATAGGGAGTAATATAGGGTACTGTTATTTTAGAAAAAGAATTAGGATTCCGGTCAAAAAAATAAAAATGTAGGTACCTATGGACGAAACCGAGCGAAGCGAGGGTGAGTCGCTAGTAAAAATATATAAGCTATGATTGTATTGTAAAAGTTTTAAGATAAATCATCTCGCTAACCTACTTAAATAGAAGACACAAATCAATTTGTAAAGACGGTAATGTACCACTCGTGCTCTATCCATTTTAGTGAGTACTTATTGTGCATCGCCACACCTCGACCATCTGGTTATAAATTAGACCTACTATTGTTAATGTTTAACGTTCAATTTCAATAAATTTAAAAGTCCATATTTTTTGTTTAATACTATTTTTAGTCCGTGGTTCTGTTCGTATTTTATGAAATTCAATAAAACGCACCATAAAAGTTACCATTACGAATTAAGCCATTAAAGTGCTAACAAGTGACAAACAGACTCACAAACTTTCACAATCAATGTGAAATTTCATATTTAATAATTTTTGCACTGGTTTATGGTAAACGATATGTGACAGTTTTTAGCAAGCGAGATAAATTAATTGTCACTGTCACTGAACCATTAATTTTAGAACAAAAATACTTGTCAAGATTTGTCAACAATAATAGCAATGAAGTTAATTTTTCTTCAACATCATCATGCAGCTCAATTTGTATGAAATGGTCAAAAGATATGTCAAATACATATCTTTAAGTATACCGTGTTCGGTTCTCATATGTGGCAAACGTTTGTTTGTACAATAAGTTTATGCCATATTTGGTTAAGAATAGAAAGTAATGCATCTAGCATTAGGACTTTTTATTAATTTATAAATAATCGATTAGTTCAATTTAATGAAAATAACAAGTTTTATTGTTTTTACATCTTACTGAGTCTACTCTAGTCTAACTAGGACGATGAGATCGACAAAATCAAGTAGAATTTTATTGAGCTCATCGTCTTGGGTTACCCCAGACGTGTAGCATTTCTATATTTCTATGCAAATAGACAGTGTGGACTATAGTTGAAATGACGTCATCGATATTTTTATAGAAGTCTACGTCGAGACCATACTGAATGTGAATTAATCGGTCAATACTAAAAAAGGTTAGCTTTAGATAGAGTCAGTGGAGGTTTTATTAATTACGTGATCATATTACAAGTAAAGAGAGCGATATAAACATAAAATTAATGATCAATAGCTATATATAATACTTTCTTAGATTTACTCGAATATTGGACATTTTAAATGAAACCATCTTTTTGGATTTATTTATTTATTAATTTTTGGGAAACAAACAGTGAGATAATTCTTTAAAATAATTACAAACTAAAACATCCACACACCAGCAAAGTTTCCACCTATAAATATGTCACAGGTAGAGTAAATAAAATATTCAATTATAAAAATTATTAAAAGTATGAAAATGTTTAAAATTAAAATTGACAAATATTCTAAGGTAATTTTATGCCGTTTTCAATTTTTTAATTCATTTTGTTATTTTGTGGGTTGGCTGTCTGTAACAATTATAAAATGCCTTTACACATCTACTGCTATAAAGCATTCGAAACGTCGGGAACCAAAAATAAGAATAAATACGAAAAGATACTTTTATTTAAAGTATCAATAGCTATATATATTCCTACCTTCAAAAGTTATGTCCATACAATCTTTTGCCCTCTTTACGGGATAAGCCGCACTCTCATTATTTGCGTAAGTATTTCTCGTGGTGTAATTTAGTCAGTAAGTCAGTTAGTCATTGTATTTATCGGTTTATTGAGTTACAAGAGAAATAAATTTTCAAAGAGAAAGTATATATAATTTGAAATCTGAAATTATCATTTTGTTACGGAACCTTTAAAATAATGATTTCCGTAAGAACGATTGATTAATTTAATTAGTTAATTATTTGGGATAATTGTTTGAAGTTACAATACCAGGATACTTATAAAACAAAAATGATACAAAATTCTTCTATACATATAGATAGATAGATAAATAGATAAATACTTTATTGCACACACAAAAGAAGAGTACAGAAGATGAAAAGAAAAAACAAAAATAACAAAGAGGCATGCAAAGGCGGTCTTATTGCTACGAGCAATCTCTTACAGACAACCTTTGGTGAAAGGATTAGAAGAATCGTAGACGGGACGGTGCAAATAACACTAAATACAGACAAGATGAACTACGTTTACAAACATGAATACATACATAAGGCAAAAAAGTAATATATACATACATGTATTATATATACGTACACATATACATAGATACATAAATACACATAAATACATAGTATATACATAATATATACTCAATAACATATAATAAAAGTGTAACTGATAGCTGTCCGTACATGGAAGATATTTGAGAAAAACTATTATTGGGGGTCTTTATTTATGCAATAGCACCCAAAACAACGATTTTTAGAATTTTTGTCGTTCACCTAACATTTAGTATTTGTTTTATTTTAATTGGTTCAAAAAAATTACGTCAATTTAAAGTATCACCTAGGGACGAACCCAAGCGAAGCCAGGGTCAGTCGCTAGTACTTAATAAATAAGCAATTTTTTGTACATCACAGTCTATTAATAATATGAATATACAACACCACATAACTTTGGTATTTTATTTCGAACAAACCCCCGTTGCGAATTTGGAC